TTGTGGTACTTGTTAATAGAGTAATGTTCTTGCAAAGGCACCAAAATCATCCATACTACTACACAATTCAAAAAATACTGTGAGTGTAGTTTTAGGTGGATTTGTAGCACGATCAATCACTGTCTCGTTTGTAAAAAGTACACGCTGACCGTTTTCAAGATGGACGGCTAAATGAACAACTACTGGATCCCGTTCATGAATTGGAAAACCGAAGATACGCCAAGCAGCTGCATTGGAGCTGATGTACCGTCCAATTTGGTAGAGCGTAATTTCATCGATTTTATTAATTGGAGGAGCATTTACATTAGTATTTTCTACTCTAAACACAGCCATATCACTGCCTTTATGGACATACTTGCAAATATATTTGATGCTCTTCACAGAACAGCAAAACTCAACATTAATATGAGCATTGTATGTCTTGCTTAGAAGAGGTGAATACGGCACCACCCAACGATTGTCAATGTCTGTGTTGCTGATATTTTTAATAAATGAGTATCCTCCATTATCGGGACTTCTTCGACGATATATTGGATATCCGTCGGTATTTGTTATCGTATCATTAGTGAAATCTTTAGGGAAATTTTTAGTACATTTTCCATCTGCTATGCAAGGCGATGAACGATGAAGAGTACCACATGGACAATGTATCATGTTTACTGTAACAATATCAAACAGCACTTGGTCAGTAGACGGATCTGGAATTTCCGCAGAAATGATACTATCGATTTCTTCAGGACGGATTTTGTCCATTAACCAAACCAAAATGTGCGCATGAGGCAATCTCCTCTTTTGCCATTCAACTGAATACAGCCAGCAACATGTGGGACCGAATACATGTAATTTAGTAATGTAACTTATTAGAGACTTCAACTTTTGTATGAATACACTTGCTGTAATGTCATGACGATGTATTGCATTTTGGCCAGGCAATAGCAAAGATGTAATCTCTGCCCATTTTGGATTACATGTGAACGTGATAAATAAACACGGTCGTCCATATTCGCGCACGTAAGCCATAGCATCCTGTATATATTCTTCCATATGACGTGGACTGCCTATATACGATGATGGTACTTAAAAAGTGAAACTGGAACAAACAATGAAGTGGAGATATCCAGTGGAGATGGTGGAGATGATGGTACTATTATAAATAAAATAGTAATAATTAATAGTTATTATGAGAGTTACACAGAAATAGAAAATTGATAATTGTGAACGTTACTACTACACTCGATGCATAAACAATAATCATGGATGGCCAAAAACTGTGTAGGGAGTGAGAGAAGTCTTATGTGAGTAAAGTGTGGCATTTCACTCACCAGTAAACGCGCGGCAAATTTGAAGAATCTAAGATTGGTAACACTAAGCATATATATCAGGATTAAACTTTAATAATAAAAATAAATGTTTATTTTCTTAAAAAATTTTTAGATTTTTAATCGAAGTACAGTTAAAAACACTATAATTGATCAGTTATCGAGCGAGATGAAAAATGATTAAATTATTAAAATAGCCATAAAAAATAGGGGTTGATGATAAAATAGTAAAAGTTTAGGGTTGTATGTATTTTTTAATGCAACATTATAAAAATACAAAAATAAAAAATTTCGTCGAAAAATTAAAAGAAGAAAATTAAGGGTGAACAACCCTTATCGTTTAGGGGTATGAAAAATAGATAGTAGCCGATTCTCAGACCTATTGAATGCGCATATAAAATTTGGTAAAGATCGGTAAAGCCGTTTCGGAGGAGTACGGTAACTAACATTGTGACAGGGAAATTTTATATATTAGATGTAATCTTTGCAGGTGATAATTTCACAGTTAGTGACCAGTTTTTTTCGTTTCGTCCCTGAATTCTGTGGTCTTCTATCTTTTTTCTTTATTTCTAATAACAATTCCTCAAATGATTTACGTATTTCCCTTGAAAAAGGTACATTCCCTAACTGCCTAAAGACTGCCATCGTTATTCTTCTTCATAAAGGTGGAGAAAAATCTGATGCCTGCAACTATAGACCTATTGCCTTGTTACCAGCACTATCAAAAATTATTGAAAGGCTTATAAAAGTTCGACTTATGCCCTTCCTCCTTAAACATAATATTTTATCGCAAAATCAGTTCGGCTTTTTGTCCAATAAATGTACTAGTGATGCCATGTTTTCTGTGTTACATGAGGTATATATATCACTAAATAGTAACCTCTCCTCCGCCACCGTTTTTTGCGACTATTCCAAAGCCTTTAACTGCGTAAATCACGACATTCTATTAAAAAAATTAACTTTCTATGGAATTCGGGGTGTGTCTTTGAATTGGTTCAAAACTTACAAGGTAGGTAGGAAACAATTGGTTAGAATAAAAGACACCGACTCTAGTTGTAAAGGTATTGAGTGTGGAGTACCAAAAGGTTCTGTATTAGGTCCCATTCTTTTTTTACTTTTTATTAATGACATCACTTACTTGAAAATTAAAGGAAAAATTGTTCTATTTGCTGATGATACCAGTATTACTTGGAGCAGCTCTGATATTTCAACGCTTCATTCAATTATAACCGCTGATTTACTTATAATCAAGGCTTGGTCAGACTCCAACTTACTTAGCTTTAACGTGGATAAGACGGTAGCATTATCTTATAAAGGAGATACAACCCTTGCTTTTGAATGAGAGCCAAATCAGTATCGTAAATTCCGTGAAATTTCTAGGTATTCTTATTGACAGTGTTCTCAAATGGTCCTTGCATACTGACTCCTTAAGGAAGAAACTAGCCTCAGCTTGCTTTGCAATAAGATCTGTTTCGAAGGAACTAAATTTATCTTCTGTCACAATGGCATATTTCCCATTGTTCAAGTCCCATCTTCGATATGGACTTCCATTTTGAGGTTCTAGTACAGCGGCCCAATTTGATACTATTTTTAAGTTGCAAAAAAGAGCAATCCGTTATCTATTTGGTCTCAAACAAACAACTCATTGCAAGACCTACTTCAAAAATCACGGAATTTTGACGCTTCCCTCTTTATTTATTTTGGAAACGGTTTGTTTGATTCGAAAGCATCTAAACATTTTTCCCGATAGACCTGACCATGGCTACTCTATTAGAAATTCGGATTGTAACGTTTATTTGCCGATCCCGTCCACTCAGCTAGTAAATAATTCTATTCTATATAGTGCAAAAAAACTTTATAATCTCCTTCCAAGAGAAATTAAATCCGCAACATCTTTCATTAAGTTTCGTAAGATGACAAAAATCTATCTGTCTGAAAGACCATATTATTCAGTTGACGAGTTTCTTAATGTATAACAAAGAAACAAAATTAGTATTATTTATAATTACATTTGGGTGTCTCAAGCAGTGGCTACAATTTGTCTCATTTGTTGTTGTCTGTACAAATTATGTAGGTTATACAATAATTTTACTAATTTAAAATTGTATTGTTCTGTTTTTTACTATATTTGTTTCTGTTTTATCTTTTTGTAGTATTCGACTGATTTATTTTTTAGCTTTGTCCATAAAATTGTTTGTCCATAATTTTCAGTGACAATAAAGCATATTTCTATTCTATTCTATTTTATTTGTAAAGAAAGTCCAATTGACGAGACAGGGCAATTTTTTTTTCTACTTGACCTTCGTTCTAGCGTCTGTTCTTTCCACCATTGCAAAGGTAGAGACAGGGGTTTCTGGCTATTTTGTTAGGATTAAAGCGTTTGAGACATCTGATTGTACCGTATCTAAAGAAATATAGGATGCTTGTTGCCCTACATTTGAATAATTGTAGTCTTCTTGATTTTCAGTGGCTATAACAGGACTCGCATCTGTACTACATTTTTGTTCATAATTTTTATGCAATCTGCCATTTCTTTTTCCTCAAGAGACGTCAAAAATGAATGAACTCCTCCACCACCGTTACCTTCTTTTGAACTCAGTCCAGTCCCACGTGTTTCTTTGACTCAATGCTTCAGTGTAGATCGTAGAATATTGTAAAATAATGATGCACCCCGTGTCGTCTTCATGCCATGTCTAATATCGTCAATTATCCTATCAAGGTCTTCCGTGGTATATGAGGAGGCAGCATTTTTCTGAGTTTTTCTTATGTACGTTCGTAGAATTTTCTGAAACAAAAACAATCTGATATAACCTAGGCTTCAAAAAAGTAAAGGATGGAAAAAAATATTTTCTGGGGTCCTGAGGGGTAACTGGACCAGGACTTGGTCCAGTTACTCCCGATATGGGTCCCGGTTACCCCAAAAGAGCAAAAGCTCTTGTGGTAACTGGACCACTCATTCTAACCTCAAAACTAATCCAATAAGCATGCAAAACTAATTTAAACATTGTTAATCGAATATTAATCAACACTTTTACACTAAAATACATGGTAAAAACATTTGCTTTGATAACCAAAACAATAATATAAATCACAAGCACGCCACTGATATAAATTTGATAAGAAATAACTACGAATTTAAATTTGGATTTTTAAGGTTAGAATTATTGTTTTGGGGGAAGGCACATTCTTGCAGGACAGCCAACAGCAAAAAACTTATAAAACTTATAGAGATCAAGAAAATTATTCCAATTAGCTAAATATTGATTTTTTCAGTAATTAGTTTTAAAATTAGCACGTATTCTTGGTTGTATAGTAATTTCCAGATACTTCAAGTCGACGTCAAAAATTAACCAATATAGCAAAAAATAATTACTAAATTTATTAGCCAGTTGGGACTAGGAACAGTGGACCGAGTATGATTACGGTGACAGTCTAGCATACTGCTTAATTTTAGCGTCTATGTTAATTATTAAACTATAGAGTACAGCTCCTTTTACAACTATAAAAGTCTGATATTACAAACGAAATTGTAGTAGAGACAAAGTAACTCATAATAACAGTCTTTAATACAAAAAACCGCCTCTTTTTGTTTTGCTTATAATTATTAATGATCTTAAAAGATCACTATACAATTTCTTTTCGTATATTCTAATATATTCTATATAATTAATTTTTTTTTAGTTTGTGACCTGGACAGGATGAATATTAACGAAGAGATACCAGAAATTGATAGCCATAATTTTGATAACATAGGATTTTAGATATTCAGCTGTGATTCAATTTACTAATGTGCACACCATGCTCAAATTATGACATAATAAGTACAATGTAGACTTTAAACAAAATTGTATTTTAAAGAAGAGTAAGTTTACGGAATTGTGTAGAATATCAAAATTGTTCATCAGTGTATTTATTTATAAAATCATATTTTTGATAAATCTGTATTTGTAAGAAATTGTTTGCATGGTTATATTGTTGTATATTTTGCATTAAAAAATTTTATCTATGGCTTAGGAAAAAATTGGTCGAAATAATAGTATTTGAAGAAAAAACAGCAAGAATTTGTGAAAATCATGTTTATTTCATAACTTTCATTTTTTGACTTTTTCTTCATGCTCCATTAGAATTATCCGACGTTGGTGATCACCATGACGAAGGCTTCGTGGTCTTCTACGATATGAAGAAATTGCTCTGCGTATAGTATTTTGTTCCAATTTTAAATGGTTTTCAACCAGAAAGCTTGTTTACTTCCTGCACCGCTTGAGCTTATATTTTTCACGTAAAAACCAGCTGTAGTATTCTATAGATATTTGGTTTCAATCTATGATCAAAATGAGATTTTCCTATTAAAAGTTTTTATTAATTTTCTGTTATTATTGAATCTTCTCAAGCTTATTTGTTATTTATGTGAGTCATTCAAAGAATTTTTAACATTCGTCTACGTATTCGCATTTTCAACGCTTGAGTTCGAATTATTATTAAAACTTGTAGCGTCCATGTTTCACCTCCATATTACATCCAAGATCAAACGTTCATTTTTTGTCTTCGTTACAAGGTGAGATTCTATTTAGGCAGATACTACATCGTGGATATGATTCAACAGAATTTAGAGGCTCTTCACTGTCTGATAGAAATACTGTATCATCCGCATATCTAATTACATTAACCCTCTAGTTTCCCTTTTTTTTTTGTTTTAAAAATTACTATAGGATTATTTAAGGTCATTAATATTGAAATCTAATCTCACATTTTACATGAGATGAAATTTGAACCCTATGAACCCTATAATCAAAGGTCCGCCTTGAGGCGGAGCTGGGCAGTGAGTAGAGGCAAATATTTCTAAAGTATGAGGTTGGTCAAATAATTGATTGGAAATTATGCACACATTTATTACTTACTTTTGTCTTATAACAAACTACTTTTACATTAGTTTTGATGAAAATTGGAAAAACAGTTTTTTGTTGCTTTGTAACATAAATTTATTTTGCACTTTGAACAAATACACTGAGTTTCTGATTTGCATCCTGGGAGTTTGCATTGGCGTTTAACTTTACGATCCAACCATTCAGGAAAGTGGTCGATTTTGTCAAACCGAATATCAGCTAGTGGTAAATATGTTTTCTTAGGAAGTAGTTTTTGAGTCTCTGGTATTTTTTTCGGGCGCCCTGGTGTTTTTATGGCATCACCTATTTCACGTTTGCATAGTACAGCAGCAATCTGTTTTCTAAAAATCGGTAACTCTATGGTGAATATAGAGTTTCTTTGATTTATTCGTTTATGCAGTAAATAGGCATTTATCATAATCATGTCCAAAATGTGATAAAATATTCGACTAGTCCATTTATTGGTTTTCATTCTGATGTGATATCTGCCTAAAAGACCATCCATCAGGTCAACACCACCCATGTGCGCGTTATATTCGTGGATTACATTTGGACAGTTCACTTCAATTCTCCTTCTTTGTTTACGATAAAAACGGGAGGCTTATAGAGTTGTTTGTATCTCATTGCTGGTTATAAATGGTTGGATTCCCACATAAGTTGATGCTAGTCGTACACATTTGTTATCCTTCCATAAGGTGGTTGATATATCAACGCCATGGCATGAGCCCACATATTCTTCAGAATATCCGCGTTCTTCTTTGGAAACTTCATTATCTTTAGATAATTTGCATTTCGGAATAAGATTTGTTCGAATTGTTCCCAATGAATATATTCCTCTGCTGTATAAATAAGGCATCAATGGCAATGTATAAAAGTTGTCAAAGTAAATGATGTGATTCTGATGGTTAGGTACTATTTGAGACAATCTCGAAACAACATTTGCAGCCGCTCCTAAATCTGGTACTCCAGTCGGAACAACATTATCACCTGCCCCAGTATACAGTTCAAAACCATATGAATAACCATAAGAGTCACATATCACAAATAACTTCATACCCCATTTATGTGGTTTTGCGGGCATATATTGCCGCAAATGTGAAACCATTTTAGTTGAACACATTTGTTCGTCAACGCAAAGACGTTGACTCATTGGAACTGATTGAAAACGTCTGTTGAAGTGATCTATAATGGGCCGTATCTTGTATATGGCATCGAATTCTGGATGATCTTTTGGCAGTAAATTTGTATTGTCATTAAAGTGCAAGAAACGACATATCTCCTCGAATCTGTTCCTTCTCATTGTTTCCCGTATAGGTTCGAACGAGTTTTCAGACCAGTACTCTCGAACATTTGGATATCGATAGACTGACATATAAAATAGGATTCCTACAAATTGTCTTACTTCGTGTGCGGTTGTTGAGAATGTTGTCGAAATGTTTATTTGACGAGCATACAAATTAGTTTCATTTGCTATGTGCTGGTACAAGTCTGCATTAGCAAAATATTCAAAACAATCATATGGAGTTTTAAGCTCATTAAAAGTACTAGGCAAGTCATTGCTTCTTTTGAATTGTATTTGCTTTTTATGAAGTTGTATTTGCTTATTTCGCCATATAATATCTTTGAATACAGGGCTTTCTATACCTATTTCACTTGAGGATCCAAGAAACGAATTGCTTGGTACAATTTCTTCTAAACGCTGACGTTTACTGGTTTCTGCACTCAGTCCAGGTAGTGACCGTTTACTGTATTCTGTACTCGGTCCAGGTACTGGCTCAGGAACTTCCGTTGCCGCTTCAGAAGCTTCAATTTCAATTTCTGCACTCAAATTTACGCTATCAATATTTTTTTCTATTATCGATTCACTCACATCCTGACGGACATTGATGGCTTCTTCATTTTCCAAACGTAACATCTCGGTAGTATTGGAAGAATAAATAAAGTCAGACATTACCTCACTAACTTCATCATCCAAAGAACCTCCTTCATCATCAGTACTCAATTCATCGACTTCCAGCGAGTCTAATAATCCAAATATATCATCTTGCGACATCTCATCGAGATTCAATCGACCTCGCCGGTACATGCCTAAAAATAAACATTATTGAAATCATTTAAAAAAAGTAAAAAAAAAACTACGGCTATAATTGAACCATATACAAATATTATTGCAAACTTTCATTGTTATCTGCCCAAGTCCGCCTTCAGGCGGTTATGACTAATAAGGCCTTTTATATATTTGTTTAGTCAATTTTTCCCTTCATAAACAGTATTCATGCAGAATAATACATTACAAACTTACCTGTAATTTTTAATTTGGATTTTAATTGCTAGAACTATTTTATTTTTAAAAATTTGAAGGAGGCGACGTGACCTTCCACTACCAAATTTCACATTACTTAAACTAAAAATTACCGCGTAAACATTTGTCAGGCCGGCGAAATTTTGTAACAGCCGGTGCATATCATACCTAGTCTAGAGGCTGGTTTGGGTATTGCAGCTATAAAATACTTAAATAGTATTTCTGGGAACTTTTTTTATGGTCCGCCTTGAGGCGGACTGGGGCACTAGAGGGTTAAGTAATTTTTCTTTCTGTTATTCCATGTGATTTTAAATGCTTTTTTGAAAATTGATCTTGGTGTAACTTAAATAACTTTGGGGATAAGATACAATCTTTGTCTAACTCCTGGTTGTCTACAGTATGATTATTTCCAATTTTTGCGTTGTTGGTTTGACTCCAATACAAATTTTTATTGATACAAATACATTTGCCATCAATTCTTATACTTTTACTATATCTAATAATTTTACATTTTGGTCTCTATCAAATGTTTTTTCGAAATCCACGAAGCACTTAAAAATATCTTTTCTATCTGATCAAATCCTTGCAACAAGACGTTCACCGCAAACAGTGGTTCTATCATTCCGAATTCATTTCTAAAACCAAATTACAAACTTTCTTAGCACACATGGTTGATACTTACTGTGAAGTATTCTTAGAAAAAACTTTAGGGCTCTTGAAGCTATTTAATAAATATTCTGAGCATTTCCTTGCTTTGTGTTTTTTACGGATTGTGTAAATGTAGATCTCAGCCAATCTGGAAGAAATCACTCCGCTGTTATGTATTGCATTAAAAAGTTGTGCTACCATTTTTTAAACTCATCATCAGTTTTAACAATCCTTTTCATATTTTTTTCTACAGCTTTTCTAGTTTTTACATTTCTTTACTACTTAAGTTTATTTCTAACTGTAAACAATGAATATGAAAACAAATCAAATATCTATTGTATCATATAGGTACATTTTTATTTGAGATCCAGAAATGTATTTACGAGCCCCTTCCCATATTAGTTGGCCAACGTAGATTGATTAAACAAAACAATAAATTTTAAAAAACGCATAGAATATGTATTAACAAAAAAAAATGTGAAAGTTTACCACTGATTTACATCTCCTTTATTTTTAATGACATCCACAATTCTTCGATGCATAGTTTTTACCAAGTTCTAACAAAATTCTAATGTAAGCGAATCCCATATTTCGTGCAATTTTTCCTTCAATTTGTTGACGGACCTGCAGGATGTTTTCTCAAAGCTTTTTTCATTTCGTGCTACAAAGTCTCTAGCGGGGACAAGTCGCGACTGTTATAAACCGATTCCAGACGTGGTATGCCATGCTCTTCAATCCATTTTAAACTCTTTTTTAAGGTATGATAACCTGCGCCGTCCTGTTGGAAGACAAAATCTTTCTCTGGTTAAACGGTGTTCCATAATCGGTGAAAGAAATTCTTCTAAAATATTCAAATGTTTGTCTGTGTTTACAATCCCATCGATAAAATGTAACTTTCCCACACCTTTAGACGACATGCTGCCCCAGATCATGACAGTCGGGATGAAAAGCTTCATTTTTCCTGCGAATGACGCGACTCCTACTGTCGTCTCCAACACACACTTTAAATCTGGACTCATCAGTCCATTGTATTGAATCCCATTGCGACTAAGTCCAATCTTTATGCTCTTTTGACCATCTTAGTCTATTTTTCTTTTGTTGTAATCTAAAAGTGGTGTTTCCTTAGCCTTAAATAAAATGAAATTTATTAAAAACAATTCGTACTAATTTTTTCAACTATAAAACTTACTTTGTAAGTACCAAATCCAAATTTGTGGGCATCTCGGTGTCATGTAGATCTAGAAACGTGTCTTCCAATAACGTCACTCCATAAAACGCTTAACTACATATAATTTGCTCGTTGATTTTAACATGTTTTGTAACTATATTTTTTCTTTTCCAATTCAAATGATTTTGTATTATGTATTCTATAGGATCTCTTGTATTACTGTTGATTCGCAATCTTTTTGTGCGGAAAAACAGCTTTATTATTATTAAATTTTGCAGCAGTTTCTTTTCCAAGAGCGGTTCATCATTGGTGTATTAACTGTAATGATATGATTTGAGGACACTAGCTTATAGGACTCCATTCTTGATTTCTGTGCATCCTCGGAACGTGGTACCTTCTTTCGTTTTAAAGTATCTATTTACAGAGTAATATTACAAAAGTTGACATTACTGCATTTGAGTGAAACTCTTTTGAAAGCTTCGATACAACTCAACAATCTATTTTTACCCTGAAGTAAACATAGCATGTGCAAGTCATCTGAATAGCAGACGGCACTGCATGAATTCTTGCGAAACTAATCGGAGGAGTCCAGTAACTCGAAGCGAAAATTAATTGTTTCACCACTGTCTCATATATCACTATAATTCTACTATACCTTTTCTATTATATTGGACATTCCAATAATTTAATCCAGGATATTATATTTCTCTAAGCCTAATTATGGACCTCATTCTTCTATAGTCGGTTTTATTATAATATAGGCAGTGAGATATTTAGCATTATCTATCATATTGTTTCGTAGTCATTGCTCCATTTTAATAAAACATTAGAATAATTGATGATATTACTAAATTTTTTATTTTTATTGTACTATAATCACAGAATAATAAACAATCAGAATGCCCACTATCCATGGAAAATTAAGTAAGCGCATCTCGTTCGCGCCATGTTTTAGATGGAACCAGTGTTGTCCACACTGGAACCACACCACATAAGTTTGTAATGAAAAATATGTGGTGTGCACAGAAAAATTAACCCGGTTTAATTGACTTATGGCAATCATAGACATATGCAATTATTCTAACATTGTTAAAATATAATAACATAAATATAATATAATTAAACATAAATATAAACAATTACATAACCTCACAAATCATATGCCTGTGTTATGTGTTTCCTCCTAAAACATGGCGCGCGTGCTGAAAAACTTCAAAGGCGGCATCTGAGAGTGGGCATTCTGATTGTTTATTATTCTGTGCTATAATGTTAAAAAAATTTTTGAAGATATTTTCTTTTATGAATTCAGTTACAGTCTGTCCCAAACCCTTCTTTCAGTGCGTCATTAATTTTGACGTCATATAGGATTTTAAGAATTTCGAGAATTATTGCATAACATTTTAGTTAAATCTGACAGTTACAGGATCGTAATCGGCTAGATGTGAAAAGGTTATTTTTTTTAAATGTGGAGTAAAAACTTATTTATGCACATCATTGATTGGATATCTATTTTGCGTATTCAAAACTCCAACCAATTATACATCCGTAAGTAGAATTCACTTTAATATGCAAATACCCGTGAACGATACATAGTTTTTTAAGTTCTATGTATAATAATCACAGACTCGCGTTTTTTTCTGTCACTTCTAGCTTAATGCGTTAGAGAGAATTCGATCAACTACGACCATTGAGCAAAAAGACAAAAGAGGGAATGTAAAGGTAGTGAGAGCAAACATATTGTTAGATAGGAAATAGGAAGTGCTATCTTGAGAGGCCATATTAAACAAGGAAAGAGAGCCTTTCCTTGTTTAAGAAATCAAATTTAGTAGGGTTATGTTTTTGTTTGTCCCAACTGTCACATGAAATCTTATTTATATTGAAGTTTTTTAACAATTGTTTCACATTTTAGACTGTTATCGGTAATATTTAATTAAAACTTTCTCGTTCAAGATACATTCTTAAAACTATTTTATAGCAACTGTTAATAAGTGTCGGAAAATTTAAATTTGGTGCATTCGCATTTCCGGATATGTCCGCCATCAGAGGCCACTTTTTTGGTCTCCTTTTCATAACGATTAGATTCCCTCTTTTGTCTTTTTGCTCGATGACTACGACGCACTGAAAGAAGGGTTTGGGACGGACCACCGAGCAAAAAGACAAAAGACGGAATGTAAAGGTAGTGGGGAAAAATATTGTTAGACAGGAAGTGCCGTCTTGAGAGGCCATATTAAACAAGGAAAGAGAGTCTTTCCTTGTTTAAGAAATCAAATTTAGTAGGGTTATGTTTTTGTTTGTCCCAACTGTCACATGAAATCTTATTTATTTTGAAGTTGTTTAACAATTGTGTCATATTTTAGACTGTTATCGTTAATATTTATTTAAAGTTTTTCGTCTAAGATACATTCTGAAAACTATTTTATAGCTACTATTAATAAGTGTCGGAAAATTTAAATTTGGCGCATTCGCATTTCCGGATATGTCCGCCATCAGAGGCCACTTTTTTGGTCTCCTTTTCATAAGGATTAGATTCCCTCTTTTGTCTTTTTGCTCGATGGGACGGACTATAGTTTGTTGGTACTCTGAATATTGTTTATGTAGTCACAGAATAATAAACAATCCAGAAGGGCCACTCTCAGATGCCGCCTTTGAAGTTTTTCAGCACGCGCGCCATGTTTTAGGAGGACACAGACATATGATTTGTATGGTTATGTAATTGTTTATATTTATGTTTAATTATATTATATTTATGTTATTATATTTAACAATGTTAATATAATTGTATAGTATGTCTATGATTGCCGTAAGTCAAATAAACCTGGTTAATTTTTCCATGCACACCACATAAACAACACTAATTTCTTTAAAATCCTCCTAATACATGGCGGAACGTCTGCGCGTACTTAATTTTCCGTGGAGAGTGGGTATTCTGTTTGTTTATTATTCTGTGATGTAGTTTTGATATGGGAGTCAAAATTTTTTCTGCTTCGTCTGTGACTTA